ACCACCCTGACCGTGAGCTGAGAGCAGAAACGGAGGTCATGCAGAACTCTGCCAGGGTCTAAAACACAGGTTAGGCTAATGAGCAGTGTGCTTCAGGAACCACCACAGTGCCCCCTTGTGGGGAAAGCAGTTCCTGCACTCTGCAGATACTGTGATAGAAAGTGTGTGTAATGGAGTCCATTCACACCAGAGCAGAACTGCTGACAGTGGCAGGCGTGTGGATGTAATCATGACATGAATATGGTTGCAGAGCTACATCTGAATGGCTGGAACTGTGACCTCGTGAAACCTGCTGTTGGACACCGCTGGCACTCGCCATCATGGCCACAGTATGAACAGATGTTTACCCAAAACTAGGACAGCTTTCACTCACTCCTGCTGGTTACCGTTCACATGTTGTTTTTAACTGAACGTGTATTAAGGTGCAGAGCTCATGGCCGGTTCGAGGTGTGCCTCGAGTGTGTGACGGTGTTGCTGTGACTCTTCAGGTACATCTGTTTGGAGCATCTCTGGGAGGATTCTTGGCTCAGAAGTTTGCTGAGTATACACACAAGTCTCCCCGAGTGCACTCGCTCATCCTCTGCAACTCATTCAGCGACACCTCCATCTTTAACCAGACATGGACTGCAAACAGGTGCTATGGATGGATGGATGGATGGATGGATGGATGGATGGATGGATGGATGGTGGATGGATCAAAGTGTTTGGTCAATTTCATGTGTGTTGTATTGTCCCTCAGTTTCTGGTTGATGCCAGCGTTCCTGCTGAAGAAGATTGTTCTGGGAAACTTTGCAAAAGGACCTGTGGACCCTAAAATGGCAGATGCAATTGATTTCATGGTAGACAGGGTAAGTGTGTGCATGTCTGTTACTTGTACAGTGTTGTTACCACAGAATACCTTACTGCTCGATCAGCTTTTCCAAGGCAGAGATATTTCACTTTGCTAAACACGGTGTTCTTTCATGCTGAAGAACAGGACCATTTAATTAAGAAATTGGAAAATAGGTGCAACAATTATACAAATATATACGGAAACCCAGTATATGAGGCTGAAACGCAGTGTATACAATTCTTAAACCTCAATATTTGATTTGAGCACCTTTTATTTATCGACACAGCCTGAACTGCTGCCGACAGCTTTCTTTAAACCAGTGCAGTGACATCCTTGTGCTCCATCAGCCGTGTCTGAATAGAGCCAGAGGTGGGTGGGTGACCCTCCGACTGCCCACTGTGAACACAGCAGTGTAACCTTGTGCACCTCTCTCCTGTCTCCCCTCCTGGTCCCGCAGCTGGAGAGTTTGAACCAAAGTGAGTTAGCATCGCGACTAACGCTCAACTGTCAGAACTCTTATGTGGAGCCACACAAGATAAAGGACGTTGCTGTGACCATCATAGATGTAAGTGTTAAAGCAGAGTTGTCATGAAGTATAGCAGAACCCATTCAGCTGCTCCTGTCACCTGATGTGGTGTTTCCTCTGGATGTTGAGGTGTTTGATCAGAGCGCTCTGTCACTGGAAGCCAAAGAGGAGATGTATAAGCTGTATCCTAACGCCAGAAGAGCGCACCTGAAAACGGGAGGAAACTTCCCGTACCTGTGCAGGAGCGCTGAGGTCAACCTCTACATACAGGTAGGCTGTTTCTTCCAGGTCTGTTTCCTGTGTAGCACTTCTCCACAAACACATTCTAGCCGAACTCGTCTTCTGCAGGCAGGATAGTCTGTTGCAGCTTTAGATGACGGAGGATGATTTTCATGTTGGATGAGCTGTGCTCGCTCACTGATCATGTCGTTGTGTGTCGTACGCTGTCAGCTGACGTTGTTTTTAACTTGTCTACAGATTCATATGCGCCAGTTTCACGGGACAAGGTACGCTGCTATAAACCCTGCCATGGTGAGCGCTGAGGAGCTGGAGATGAGCAGTAACCAGGACTCTGAAGACTACCAGTGAGCTGGCATCCACAGCTCGGGTCTTTCTGAGCAGATTTCACAGGACGCTGGCAGATTTTCTGTGGAGTTCAACAGCTAACCAGCACGTAACCTGAGATTATTTTTTATTGAACACATGAAGCAATATTTTGATTAAAGAAGACCTGGACACAAATGGGACTTTTGCACTGCGCTTTGCTTAAAAAAACATCTAACACTCTGCCTTATGTGGAATGATTCTGTCACTTGTACTGCCTGGACTGTGTTCACGCCTGTTTGGGACGGAGGATAAAGTTAACACCACCAGCAGTAAACTGGTGTCATGTTAATAGCAAGATGAACAGAAGGATTCATGGTGTATATCTGAAAATGTTTGTATAACTCCTTAAGATAAAATGACGTTTTTGTCTTTGTCACATGTGCAGCTGTTTGTTTGTTTGTCTCATGGATGTGAAAATACACTTTACATGGTTTCTGTACAATGTGAGCAGTTGGACTCTTAAGTGACACAAATGTTGTGAACAACTTCAGGCGTCACTAATGCACAAAGCTTTTCTAGCTCATCCCAAGCCATGAAAACGTTATCATGTGGACTCTGAAATCACCCGAGGATGACGCAGTGCTTCTCAGCCTGGGCACATGCCGAGTCAGGAATCCATCCCCGTGCAGGTCTGAACAGTCATCTGTGGTGAAGTCCAGCAGCATCTGATGTGGAGCAACCTGAGGCCTGCCCTCTGCCTAACAGTGCCTTATAGCATTTTTATAAACCAGACATACTTCTACACCAAAATCTGTGCAAACACTCATGGTGCTGTAAGTAGACCTGCAGGGAAAAGCACATTTAGTTGGTTTTTATCAGATCTGACAGGTGGCTGACCAGTTTCATGTCCCACTGGTCAGGGTTGAAGTTTATCCTGCCCCCCACCTCTACTTCGATCTTTTTTTCAAAGTAACTGCCTGAAAAATGTCATGAAGCGACGTGGCGGGATTTGCTTCTAAAAGGCCTGCGACACAGTAAGTGCTGGGAGTAGTGGTGCTACAGTCACTGTAGCAGGAGACGCATCCCTGGAGACGATTACACTTTGAAATAAGCACGTTTCAGTGACATTGGCAACTACAGCCACTTAAGGTGAGGCTGTGAAGTCAAAGTGTCAGCTGTCTAGATGCTGTAAATACAGTTGGGTCCAGAAATATTTAGACGGACATTTTTCTAATTTGGGTTCTGTACACGATGAATTTTAAATTGTGGAGCTAAAACATTTCTTTGTAACCCAATCACTTCGTTTCAGGCGCTCAAAAGTAATCGGACAAATTATATGACAGAAAATTGAAATTTCTAATACTTGGTAGAAAACCCTTGAAGTTTTTGATTCATGGACATCAGCAGATGCTGGGTGTCCTCTTGTGCTCTGCCAGGCCTTTACTGCAGTTCCAGTTGCTCTTCTTTTGTGGGCCTTTCCTTTCAATAAGTGAAGATCAGGCAATCAACGCCTCAGAATTCTGTCACATTATCAATAAACACCAGTGTGCCAGTGCCACTCACTACCATGCGTGCCCACGCCATCACACTGCCTGAACTGTGTTTAAAGGGGCTGTGGCATGCTCTGGATCATGAGGTTTTCCACACCATCACTCGGGTAGATTGATCTTGTCTTCATCTGCCAAAGGATGTTTTTCCAGAGCTGTGCTCGTCTTCTGTTTTTGTTTAGATGATTTTCAATCTGGCTTTTCTATTCCTGAGGCTAATGAGTGGCTTGCACCTGCAGTCTTGTCTTTATGGTTTATAATTTTGATTTTTTTTGTTTTCCGTAGTGATGCAGATGACATGTGACATCACTTCTGTTCTGGGTCAATCTTACCCGCAACATAACAGACGGCTTGTTTCACCTGCATGGAGATCTACTTTGACCTCTTGTTGCCTGTTCACAGCAAAATTTGTCACATGAAAGCACCACACCTCAAATCAGCTCCAGCTCTTTGATGACAGAACATATCCTGAAAGCTGTTCTGTCCCCCCCCCGTCAGTGTCTAAACATATATAAGGACCTAACTACATAAACCATGGCATTTAAAAAGGAGTTGTACATTAGGTTTTGTTCTTGTTCTTCATTAATGGAATTGCACAGAACTGGTTAAGGACGGCCACACAAGTTTGCCAGCAAAGACCCGTCCGACATGTGTTCTTTGTCCCAGGCGAGGTGCACATCCAGACAGAAGAGGATGGAAATATGACTTTAAAATGTATTTTATTCATCCATTTCACAAAATGCATCATCAACCACACTCGGTTCTTTCTAAATATTAAACTGTAGAGTTACTTTTTATTCCGTTTTCAGAACATGGCAAATAAAACTTTTCTAAACTATTAACTTTGTCATACATGTCTGAAAAATCTGAACTCATCGTTCTAAAAAGCATCTGTGTGAACCTCAGCACTCTGCAAGCCACCACCTCAGAATAAAACAAACCAAACGTGGATTTAAATTCTTTTTTAAAAAGCTCAGAGGAATAAAACAGATAAAAGAATTTGTGCAAATTCCACAGGAAGGGTTCATCCACAGCCACTGGACGTTAACATCAGAGCGGATATTTAGACCTGCCTGTGCACAGCTCCACACATGTGAATCAGAACAACACATTCCTGCAACATTTATTTTATGGCAAAAAGATTAGTGTCATCATACACACTGGGCAGAAATGCCGAGGGGTGCGTGGCAATGTTAGGTCTCAGTGTTAGTAGCAGAAGGTGCCAAAATCGCCCATGCCGTTGCGCTTGAACTGGTTTCCTTGAAAGGACACAAAGATTTGGTGGTCTTTCAGATCCTCAACAGCTTGGCTGGACATCTCCATGTTCCTGCTTAGCTGACGGCTAAACTGCCACTTCCTGCCTGTAGACGCAGCCGCATCACCGTCTGAGCTGTTCTTAGCAGACCCAGCCAAAAGAGGTAGCGAGGGGCTGCTGCTGGACGTGGTGCTGACAGGTGGTGTTGAAAATGAGGTGGAGATCAAGTGATGGTCTAAAGATCCTCCCTGCTTTTCCTCTTGTGTGTGTGCATCAGGGTGCTCTGCGAGGAAAGGGGCAGCTGATTATAGATTGTGCACTGGGCTATCAAAGCTGCCTCACATTACCACATTACCACCTTACCCACCTTCACTTCTGCCCACAGGGATGCTGGGCTCTTCCCCACTGTTGGGTTTCACCAGAATCACCCCATAGCCTTCATTGTTGTGGATCACATTGTTCTCCATGGTGATGGAAGGCATTGCATCCATCTGATCAGCAAAGTCCTACACGCACACGCACACGCTGGGCATCACACCTGCAGCCTGTTTGTTGCAATGCAGCAGTGCTAACCACTGCATCACTGCCACTCAAAGCACAAGCACTACTGTGTCCACAATGGGGGTAAAAGGCCTACTAACAATACAGCATCAGTGATAACAGCTTTACAAAGTCAGGACGATGGAGTTGGCAGAAATATGAATATTGGCAAGATGAATCTCATCTCACCTTGATGAGGATCCCATCCTTACAATGATGGATGCCGTTACCAACAAGACTGCAAACGCTGCCGGGGTAAATCTCCACACCTGCCCCCTGCACACAGACAAGGAGCAGCATAACCAGTCAGCTGATCAGAGAACCGTCACACACACAAGAACACTGGGACATAGGGTTGTTTTTTTTTTTTTTTACACAAAGCTTTACTGATCTTGTGTCAGGTCATTAGCTGGCAGGTCAGCATAGTTTCCAGTGTAACACATACTTCACACTAGGGCTGCCACAAACGATTATTTTGATAGTCGACTAGTCACCGATTATTTTTGCGATTAGTCGACTAATCAGATCATCATCCATTGGACGTAAAAGACGCTTACCAGCAGCATCTGCTCTTATATAACTATCATTAGCTTACAGCTTTAAGTGTTTAAGGTCTGTGCTAACTAAAAATAAAGACAAGATGATAGTTTATTAAATTTTAATGAAATTTGCAGATTGTTTCGGTGAAGTTTAATAAACTCCTTGCTATCTAAAATATAACAGGACACCGGAGTATATTCTCGAGCATCTCACACTTCTGATAATCAGCTGTCTGCTTGACGTTTATTCAGCTGTGTAAAAACTATAACTTTAATCTCAGCCAAACGATACAGGAACAAATAAAATACTAAAAAAGCCAAACAATAACATTTTAAGTTATCTAAGTGACTTATATATCATGTTTAACCTGAGTAGCAAAGACGGCGGTGGGTTTGAAAACGATTTGCCGGGAGTCCGGTGTTCTCACGGCTCTAGTTAGCCTAGCCCCCGGCTAGCTATCGAGCTAGTGGGTAACAGATGTCTCCGAAAACGTCGGAGCGCTTTTGAAAATATGTGGTGTCTTGATAAACTGAGCAGATATTTGAGGTTTACACAGCTACATTCTCCGCCTGAAAATATGTTAAACGTTTATTTTGTGACCCAGAAAGAATAATAAGAGTAATATTAAAACTAACTAGCTGCCGCCATTGTTGGAAACTGCGCTGGGCCGCGCTATGAATTCTGGGACACAGCGCTTTCTTCTTCTTCGGGGTTTAACGGCAGCTGGCATCCTTGTACATGCAGTGCTGCCATCTTCTGTTTCAGTCCGTTATTACACTCTTAAATCCTGCTACTTATTCCTGCGTCTTTTGGATCTTACAAAGCTTCAAACGACGCGTCGACTATTAAATCAGTCGTCGACGATTTTGATAGTCGACTAATCGTGGCAGCCCTAGTTCACAGCATGGAGGAACTGGCCATATTTTTTGTTTCCAGAAAACCATGTGATGGGTGGAGTTCAGGTCTCACCTTGGAGCCATACAGGTCGCACATGTTCATGGTGAGACGGGCAGATGTTCTCACGATGACTCCAGTGGTGTCACACTGTAGCACACAGTTCTCCATATTCAGAGTCCCCTGACGCACACCTGGCAGTCAAACCGGAACAAGAAGAAAGGCATCATTACTACACACCTCAACACAACACCATGCACGTAAGATAAACACAACCTCCAGTCCAACTGACCACACGACCTAAAACAGACCTGGGCATTTTACACGGGCCACATACGGTATGTTGTAAGCACAAATTAACAAGTGTTTATGCTGTGCATGCAATACAACTGTGTTGCTTTTATTTTGAAAACCCTCAACGTATTATCTGCTTCTGTCTGCACAGCGTCAGGTGATGCCAGCTACCCCTGGCCCCCTAAAAATGTCGGTCATGTTAGACTTTGACTACTTTTCCCAGGCTGTGGATGAGAGCTGCGGTGTACGTGACACTGCCCAGCTACTCGTCTTTTTACGTGGGATCACTGCAGACTTCAAAATCACGGAGGAGCTGGCAGCCATGCAGTCAATGAAAGGGACAGGGAGTCATTTCTTCACAAAGTTAAATGCATGCTTGGAGAAGCTGGGCGTGAAATGGGACAAAGTGATAGGTGTGAGAACAGATGGTTG